TCCTCGGTATTTTTAGACCGGTATGAAAATTATAGAGACAAAAGAAAACAAATCCCTTGAGGACTCCTCCAGTCCGCCAGCTACCTCTCCGCTTAGAATCCGAGGAGACCGTTGAAGGTGGTAGCAACAGCTGCGCTCTTGTCACCGGAGGCCAGAATCTGAGCCTTGGCGTCCAGGCACTGGGTCTTGGCAGCATCGTTGGCCTCGCAGACGTTAGTGAGCTGATCGCAGACGCGGTTGATGATGATGTTGGGGTTGAGGGCATCCTGTTGACCCTGAGCAACGAGAGCGTCGGTAGGCAGGAAGGTTCCCTCGTCAGCCTTGCGGCCAGCACGGCCAAGCTGGAAGTCAATAGTGGGAGTGCACTTTCCGAAGTCAGCGGCACCGGTGGCAGCTCCACCATTGTTGGCGTTGCCGGCGTTTCCAGTGTTGGCATTGCCGTTGTTGGCATTGTTGTTGCCGGCGTTCTGGTTCTGGTTGTTGTTCTGGTTGTTGTTGTTGTTCGCGTTGCCAGTGTTAGCGTTACCGGTGTTGTTGCTCGCACCGGCGTTTCCGCTGGCGGCACCGCCACAGGAGCTTCCAGCGTTGGCATTTCCGGTGTTGGCATTGGCATTGCCGGCATTATTGTTGTTGTTGTTGTTCTTGTTGCCGTTGTTCTGGTTGTTGTTGGCGTTACCAGTGTTGGCATTGCCATTGTTGGCATTGCCATTGTTGTTGCCGGCGTTGGCATTGCCTCCGGCAGCAGCACCACCAGCGGCCTGGCCCTTGATGGTGAAGTTGGAGAAGCCCTGAGCCTGCATCACCTCTGCGACAGACAGACCAGTGGCATCAAAGGGGGTCTTCAGAGAAGTTGCCGAGTTGGCGTTCTCGGCATCGGATCCGGTGACGGCCGGGTCGACGAGGGGCACGATGCCACGGAGGGCCTCGGTAGCGGGGAGAGAGGCATCGCCGCAGATGCTGGGGACGCTGACGACGAAGGGGTTGAAGTTCTGCTCGGCGGCAACGACACCCTTGGCAGCCTCGAGAACATCGGCGCCGGTACCGAGGGCGGCAATCTTGTCGGCGAGAGTCAGCTTGTCGCAGGGGTCGGCGGCGGCGAGGAGAACGCCCGGGATACCTCCGGCGAGGGTGGCAGCTTCACCGGGGTTGCCAGCCTGCAGAGAAGAGACGGCTTGAACGGGGACCTGCTCCTGACCGAAGCGGGCTTCGACAGCGGCCAGAACGGCGGAGATGAGAAGGATCTTGGAGTAAGACATGTTTGCTGATTTAAAGGCTGTGAAGGGTTGATTGAAGCAACGTTTACTGAGTGTCGAAGAATCGAACGGGGTTTAGAAGTTAAAAGTTGAAAAAGATTGTAATAGACCGGCTAGCGGTGTGTAGTTGGATCAGGACAAGAAAGAGTGTCGAGAACGTAAAAAAGTTCACAGAACTGAAAGATTGAAGAGTAGAGAAGGATGCTTGTTGGTTGCTGGATGAGGAGGAAAGGAAAGAGAGTTGGGATGACAGGTGGGATCATCACTATTATATAGATCTGAGTGTGTCTAATGTCAGATCAGTCGTTTCCATGATCTCACGGCTCTCTTACTGCGCGCATAGGCAAGAAGGGGGCAAGACGAGACAGTCTGCGACGATGACAACCCATGACTGGCTTCTTCCCATCCCTTCTAGATGCCGTTCCCGCTTTCTCTCATACATGGGATCGTAGCCGAGAAGGCAAGCCTGCTCTGCCTGCTTTCTGTCTTGCTCAGCCATCAGTAAACGCCGCCTCGTGGAAGAGTGTGTCTAGGTCGAGGTCGCAACGTGCCGCAAAGTACTACTCATGGCCCCGACCACCCCCTTAGCGACGATCATACTAGAATAATGGGATGAAATAGCCATGGTGCGGCAAGGACGTCACGGCCATCACTGTGGCCCAAGTCGTCCGCGTGCTACAAAGTGTCGTCCCAACTGGCCTCACACGCACAGTTTGTCTCATGTCGCCTGGATCGAGGATTCACTCAGGGAGCATGGGGGTTCGGATGGCCGCCTCCGTCCAGTCTCTTCTGTTCGGGAACACGGCCGAATTGACGGGGAGGTGCCCTGCTGCCAACTCATGGTTGCTTCGGATTCTGCATGCGCCCAACCGGCCTTCTTGAAGGGATTGCGGTGACCGCAAGTGGTTCAGGCCAGGGCGATGACGGCTTGAAGCGAGAGAGTTAAGTTAGAGCCCCTGGTCAAAAAGCAGCCAAAAGGACGAAAGAAGAATGGTTTGAATGGGGAGAAAATCCAACAGCATGGATCATCTGGAGGCGAAGGGATTCGAAGAAAGGGGTCTCTGCGCAACAGTGATGTGCCAGAGGACCATTCAGGGATTAGCGTCCCCCAACGTTCCCCTAACGTCCCCCGGGCCGAGCGCATCACATCCCTGTAGCTTTCCAATCTTTCTTTGCTTTCGGGGCTGAAGCGATGAGGAAGACGAGGGAAGAAGTCTTCTCCAGCACCCTAAAACCCCCCCGGCACGCTTTAAAACGCGGCATCGTGAGATAGAATCCACCATCATGGGGCCTCCACTTGGAAGCGGCATGAGGTTGACTTGGGCACCCGGCAATTGTCCACCATTCAGATCCTTTCTGTCTAGCTTGTTCCCCCAGCTTCGGCTACCACGAGAGAGGGGCTTGCGACATGATGCTCTCGGGGTTTTAGGGACTGTATCCTGTGAGAGGGGAACAGGACGACAGTGAGCTGGTTTCGAGGGCGCTCAAGAAGAGAGTTGTGCTGGGTTGATGATGCTGACGCGCGAGAGAGCCAGGACCTTGGGCGATGGGACGACGTTGAGTCTTTTCTCAAGTGCCATCCGATGGCAAGCTCAACCTCATCCTACGGCACAGAGCTGTCAGAGCATGCGGTGCACCAGTGCGAAAAAGAATGGTGCTGGGTTGCATTGCCTCGTACGAGTCGTAGCATTAAGCTCGTCAGGCACCGAGGGTGGCTACTGGGAGGCTGAGAGTTTGAAATGCTCAAGCGCTTTTGTGTGTCACACATGGCCCAGTGGCACGTAGGTCATTTAATTAAAAAGCAATCTATCGCTAGTGCTTGTATTGTGGGCGGGAGTTAGTCCTCCCGGTCGAAAAGTCCGATAAATTAACTGAACCCGTGGCTCTAGTCCTCACATATCCTCCCCAGATCATCCAGTCCCGAAAGATTTAGAGCTTGTCCTTTAGACATGTCAGTTTCCCCATAAATGATGTTCAATGGGATGAAAAGTATGTTGCAAATTCACTGTAACGAGAAACATCTCGTTGATCTGCGGCTTGACGAAATCTGATCCGAATTACTCATCAATCATTATGTGTTTTTGCTTGCTCATAGCGTCTTCCCTTGTCGTCGATCCAGATTGACTTTCTATGCTCAGTGGCAGCTGTCAGTCTCACTTGGCTCTTGCATCATACCCATTGCCTCTGCTCCCAGTCTCGCTCTTTATTTCCTCTTCATTCCTGGCTCTCTAGCCACTGCACGCCCAGCGACGCTCGGGCTAGAGATCAACACAACTCACATGGGTGCCACCGTAGAATGCGACGCGAGACCTGGCAAGCTGACTGAACCCCGGACCGGCGACGTTCGCTTCGGAAGCGCCTATTTCTTGATTCCTCCCTCCCCCTTCGACTTCGGCAAAAGACTTGCCGTAGCCCTGGCTAAATTGCATTGGTTCCCTAGCCTACCAAGAACAGCAGGTCAGTGGTTGACCGCCATTGACAACGTCCAGTCCAGCCACAAAAAGTCAGGGTCTGTCAGGGATCTGTGCCATCCTTGGGCCCGCAGTCCATCCCATTTGGGTAATCCCAGATTTCGAGATCGCATCGATCAAACAGCCTCATCAGGGGTTCCTGAGACGACTCCAAAACCTTATGGGTCTCGACCCGGTCCAACCAAACAACAACACTGAAGAACTTGCCTTTTCGGGCTTGTCAGCCCCTTTGACCGAGCAATACGTGCCGTCCATCTCTTACAAAGGAGCTAACCAGCTGGTCATTTTTTCCTCTCTAGTGAGAACATCCCAGGCTTGGTTCCCAACGTAGTCAAGACGCTTCACTTGCCAGCTTTCGGTTCGAGGCCCGCCAAGCCGAGGCAGGGCGAAATTCTCTTTTTTCAGCTTCTGTGCCAAGAAGTTGTGTTTGATCTGTGCTTCTCTCCAGTCTTTTCCCAAATTCTGTTTATTTTTGAGATGACTACATCAATAATCTGCTGCAACTCCTGTGATCTTGGAATAGATTCAAGCCGTCTTGGCTGGAACGGATCACAGAAATGGCGTACCACGAGCCAACGATACATCCTCAGCCAGAGTTGAAGTCAACCTAACACAAGTTAAACAACAATAGGTCTAGATCTTCAGTGAGCCATACGTCTGCCTATTGTATCCCTGTCATCGTCCTACCGAAATTGCTTAGATTTCTCGACGCTCTATGACGCGGCTGGCGACAGACGGCCAGATCTCGGAGGCTTCCGTCCATGCACACGACATCTGGCCTCGGCGAAGGGTCGGGAACCGTATTAAGAAGATCTCCCTCGTCTTTGACTCAGCCTGCTATCGAGTCAGGCAACTTACAAGTCCTTCCACCTCGTCTTCCTCATCCTCTACTCATCGCATGACATGATCTCCTCAAGCCTCCCCAGCCCCGAGGCTCGCCGGACTTCCGAACAGAGCTGATTCATTCAGATCCGTCTCATGTCTCATTTTCTGCTCGTCTGAAGTCTGAATTCCTTCCGTCGGTCTGTCGCTTTCTTAGATCCTTCTATTAATTACGCTCTTCTTCCCCTCCCGAGACCTAGGGAGAATCATATCTGCCGTCGCTGCAATAGCCGCTCCCTAGTTCCGTCTAAAGCTCTAATGTCTAGAGCCGGAGACCCATCTCACGGCATTACGTGCTCGCTTTCTCGGCGCATTGTGCTCCCACCCACTTACATTTCGGCCTGGTTCTCATCCGATCTTTGGGAATGGGAGGGTATGGAGGTTTTTGACTCTCATGCCGGCATTACGTGTCAAGAGAAATGACTTCCTCTCTCCGAGATCAAAGTTCGGTATGTCGGATTTCGTCCACTTCCCCCAAGGCGACATGAAGCCATGCTTCACTTTCTTTCAATTCAGTCCCGAGATTCTTTCATCGACCGATTGCACTCAACTCCTTTCTCCCGTGTCATGATTCTTGGTGCAGGCATTCGAGAAGAGTTTTGACTTGGCCTGCGGGCAATTCTTGAGTGTATCTCAACTACTCGACCTCTAGTGTTATTTAGTCGCCGGGACCACCTCTGCTACTCAATATTCAAGATCTTCTCTGTCAGCTCATTTGATTTCAGCTGCTGATGGAGAGTTAAGTACGTTTCTTATATATGTTCAATTGAGTTTAGACTCTCCTCGTTTCCCTCAATAGAATGCTTTTCCTTGCCCCGTGTTGTCACATTTATTTTCGGCAAGAAAAAGGTAAGCTGAGTTACTTTACGTGCATTTCGTATAAGCGCTGAGGAGACGTCAGCAAGGTATGCCTCGTCCCACTTCAGAGTGATGCTGACCCTGCGGATACGCGATATGTTTTTCTTCCATAGGTCCTGAAGTCTCAATGGCGTCCGTGACCGGCTCAGTCTCATATCGGGTTGTTAAGGTTGGCTAGGGAGAACCAGGTTGACGGCTCAAACTGGAGGTCGTTCTTGGCAAAGAATGTCCATGACTTCGTTTCGTATTGTTCCCTATGTTACGAGAAGAGTTGGTCTCAGACAGAGGCGAGTTTCTGCTGTCTTTGAGCAAACGCCACTGACCACCCTTTTCCAGTGAGACTCGCTGTAGATGTAACTGAGGTTAACCCAGAGCCTATTTTGTAGAGGACCCGTGTCTGAGTACTCATAGATCATGTCGCGCAACTCTCTGAGAAGGCGGAGAAGTGCTGGGAATCGGGCCTCTGAAGTCGGTGAAGTTGGCGGACTTGGTGTGGTTGGCTTGGGATACTGTTCATAGCTCCGAACCACGCGTTTTACGCGAAGTCTTGATTCGTTATATGCCATAGTGAAGTCATGTTTCTCTTGAGGCTGTGACAGAATCGAGCTTTTGGCCGGTCTTCGCTAAACGTAGTGTCTCGACTCTCAAGTGCCCCTTCTGGGTTGAGTTTAGGAACTTCTCATAGAAAATGAAATATCTTGCGAGGTGTCGAGTGTTTCATACAAAGTCGCGATTAAGTTTCCCCAGCTTACTCTTGTAGCAACATTGTGTTCACAAAATAAAGGCTGTTATTTCTTGCCGAACACAAAATGAATGAATCTATTTGAGAAGTCACTGTGCGGTAATTCAGGCTAGAGAACAATGCTCTTACCTCAGACTACATGTGTGCCCTCACAGCTCTATCGAGTCTTTTGAGGGCCTAACAACCTTATTAGTAACAATGAAAGCGAGTCATCCTTGAGAATGGTCGCAATGCCGCGAACTTTGGGGACTAGGCACCAATTGAGCTCCTAAATCTCTCCATCATAGAGTGTTAGGCAGCATGGTTATCTTCCAGATGCCTACCAGTTGATTGAGGACCGTAAATTTGGTTTCCTTATCTTTAGTATCTTTGCAACTTGCTCAGGACTTTGTACACGTGGCTCCGGATCTTGCAAGACACGTTAAACGTTATTACTTCGGCGGCCATCCGATAAGTCTTAGTACATCATTCCAGACCTCTCCCTAGTCTAGTTTCCCCGGTCACAAGGTCAGTCGAACTGCTATCAGTGGCAGTTATGTGTAAGATGCCAGATCATCTTCTTTCTTTACAATCATGTCCCCAATTGAGTGATTTAGAGACCGATGCAATCTCAGTTGATGTCATTACGCACCCGATTTGCGGTGGTTGAGTACTAGTAAGCTTCCATCAGCGACAGAACCTGCTATTGAGGTTGCTCATAATCGCTTACGACATTGGAAGTAATTTCTCACAAATCGACGGTTTAAAAAGAACCTCTTTTCAGGTGATTCTTTCATCTGACTCGACAGCTAATTTGTCAAATCACACCATGACATAGTGATAGCTCGAAAGACATTGCGATTGGAGTCCTAGGAGGTATGAAAACAAGTACGCTTTAAGACTTTGAACCTGTTGGTTTGCACTCGCGAACTGAAGACCATGAGACAGCGGACTTAGGGTTATGGAGACCCAGCCTCACTTACTTTGATTCATTGCAGTCATGACGAAGCCGCATATAATATGGATTACTTTCGAGTATTGTAAGCTGGAAGTATGTCCGACTCGGTCTGTCCTAAAATACCCCAGAGTCCAAAATTAAGAACAATTTTTTGAGAAGGGTTTTGCGAGTTGATGGTCTAATGTCACACTTGACAGATTAATATTGGTTCTTTCTACAAATTAAATGTACAAGCCAAATGCGAAGTCGAATTTGACATCTGATTGTGAGAGCCTTCTCAAAGAGTCTCTGAGTGCTCGATCAGATTCGCCTTTCTTGGAGATATTTCTTGCTTAGAGAATAGGCTTCCAGGACGACCGTATTTGCAGAATCTCACCATTTCGTACCATCGTAGCAACTTAAGTCGCACCGAAACCTCCAGGTTACGACTCTTTCTCTAAATAATTACGTCCGTCGTTCTTCGTCGAACTTCTTCGAAATTTTGTTCTCCGCCTTAAAGAGACCAATAAATTGTAATGCTGTGTAAGCTCTCACATAGTCTCAGCAACTGACTGATACCTCTCAAGGTCGATCACAGCACAGCGAATGTCTGACCACATCAGAACAACTTGTATATCAATATTGATTGTAAATTCCTTCTTCTACGTATTTCCACTGCATCGAGGAGAAAGCCAAGAATTTGCGAAATTGATGCGGTTAGTAACGGTGGTTATCTTACTTCCTAGGTTTGAACTATTGCACTTAGTTGATCAAAGCATTAACCTGGCCAAAGAGCACGAACAATGCTCTTGACTCTCTGATAATGCTCAATTCATAAAGTACCTTACCTTTGATTGAAATACTAGAATAGTGCGACAACTTGGTCTAAGCTTCATCGCGGCTTTACCCAAGCGGGCACACCGGAAGGATGGGCTCCGTCGCTGTCTTGAGTCTGAGGACATAGAGGATCCGAAAAGGATCTCGCCCACTACCCAGCAATTGATCGCCCGCCACGGCTGGAAGCGAACCAGCATATAGACCGCATGGGTTCGGAGCGATGGTGTTGCAGCCATCGCTTGCATGGCGCCTAGGTGACAGGCCGCTCCTCAATCCTGAGAGGACGACGAGAACTAAGCGAGACACAATTGATTGAACCACTACCGACGATGTGACTGCGTCCTTCCCGCGATCTACAAATACCAGAAACGTCATGTAAACCAACTATAATTCAACGACACTGCCAGGATGCATTTTTTCTTTTAGAGTTCACACGGCGGCATTATCTGTATCTTCCTAGGATTCAAAAGCACGTGCAGCAACTCTCAAGTCATGATGTTTAAGATACCTAAAGCAGGGCTTGGCGTCTCTGTGCCGAATCCTTCTCTACTAATTTCTTCTCGTGCGTAGATTAATGGAATGTCAACAGAGTGTGAGTCTCGTGGCGCACCGTTCAAACAGTCGCCTATCCTTGAGAGTTGACTTCAATGTTTGATCTCAATTTTTCGCAACACCAAGAACGTTCTATCGCGACAACGGCATTTCATTTTCCCGTCGCCGCCACCGCCACGATCGCGTCTGTCGCCTGCGCCTCAGATTCCCAATCGAAGAGGGAGCCGCCAAGACGCGAAAAGGCCGTGGAGCAAATGCGCGGCCGCCATCAACTGGTGAACAATGCATCGCTCATCGAACATGAACCCAGCAGGGCCGAGCCGATTGGCAGACCAGACCTGCCAGTACCACTGAACACGAGGACTGGAATGCGACGGTGCTAGTTGACTCGACTCATGCCCCTCCTCTCCGGTCGTATCCGTGTTGTACAGCCACACTCCGTGCCGCGCAGATCTGGCAGCGGATCTGGAGCAGACGACGGGAGCTGAACGACGGGCAGTCCAGGAATTCAACTCCAGCGATCGACCGAGACAGTGTCTTGTTGCATTCTGAACACTGATGACGAACTCGAGTCAATCCTACGAATGAATGGAGATGGGGCGGCGGCCATCATAGTTTCGGGCCCATCTGCTTCTTCGTACCAACAACGGCAATGTGGACACGAAAACTTTGGGAAATACGCAATCAACACTTCCCCCCCAAATGTTTCCCACCCGCTGGGCAGCAGCAATTGCGACTCGCGGCTCGAAACTTGCCGCGCTGAACAGGCACAGCCTGGGTTGTCAAGCTGACAACTGACAACTAAACTCCAAGGCTCACCTTACCATCCGTAACTCTGCCGCCCCCTTTGCCCGCCCATCCCGAGAGGGGGATCCAATTTCTACGCGCTGCGCACCCGCGGCTGGGCGTTCTGACGTCGTCTGGTGGGGGGACGTTTTTTTTGCCCTTCCAATCCCCCCTCCTCCCGTCCCATCCCTCCAGAAAAAAGCCCGTGAGGCCCTGACCAATTCTGGCGAGTGTACGGATAGACTGGGGTGGAACTGGGCAGAGAAACCTTGGCCAAGTCTACCAGGTAGCCCTTGTCGCTAAGCGTTCTGTACCTGCGTCTGCCCAGGTTTTGCCCAGGCAATTTTCACGCCCCCTATTACTGGCCTCAGGCCGCCTGCGAATCCTTCGACGAACCTGAATTTGGGAGGGATTTTTTGTACGGAATTATCAGTGGGTCGAGAGTCGGCACATATCCACACCGAAATGGCGGTTCCCTGTCCTTAATAGGCCATACCAAGAGCCTCGGCGGACAGCTCCTTTGCTCGCTTGGAGATGTAAAGTGGATTCATCACCGCGAGCTCCGGTTCGTTGCATAACTTTGCCATGGTAAACGTGTGCGCAATTCTCATCAATGGAGGTGGGGGGCCATAGCGAAGCGAAATGTCAGCAACAAAAGAGCATTCCAAGGATCACATGATATTGGGTCGGAATTGAATATAGTAGGTTATCTTGATTCAAAGTGCGCGTTGATAAATGATAACCACCCTGAAGCCCCTGCCATCCGATGATATATGCGTATATACAAAATATGATGTGATCATTATCCCAATGTCCCTGAAAAATTCATTATTCTAGTTGGTGCAGATATCAATGCTCGCTAACAAAAAATAGCCAATGTCCAATGTACACATTACCATTGTATGGTCTGTTTCTCGTTTTTGATTCTCTTATGATGATGCCTTGATCTCCATCGATAGGGTCGGTACGCGGAACGTGACAACGTTGGTGGCTGAGAGCGCTTCGGAACCAAGACCCATGTAGCCGAGATATGTCGAGGTCGTAGGGAAGTTGGCGTTGGTCATGGTGGTAAGCTTCGTCAGAAGGGGGGCGAGATCGCCGACAAAGTGCTCGATCGTTGCCGTGGCCTTCCAGGTCAAGACGTATTGGCTCAAACTATTTTGTCCAAAGAAGAGTTGGCTGCAAGGCAAGTACTATTAGCTTTGACTCCCAGAATGCCACATTCCAATCAAGGATATCGGGGAAGCAGCAACTTACAATGTGGTTCCGTTGATCGTCTCTGTGGTAAGTGCGCCGGCGCCATTTTGGTACCCGATGGGCTG